TTTTGCATTTAGGTAAAATGGGATCTAAATTTGGGCCATATGTAGAGATGGTTAAAAAAAAATGCAGTTTTATATTATTCCTGGGCAACCTGAGCTTTGTATCTGGAAAATCTTCCTTTATTTGTTTGTTTCCTCTTAATTACAGAACTTTCTCATATTATAACAAATCTTTATATTTAAAACCAGTATCATCAAATGCTTTAAAAAAGTAAATAACTTAAAACATGTTTAATAATAAAGCAATTTTACAAAAACTGTGTATCAGTTGAAACCAAAAAAGAGATGTATATGCTAAATATTAACCATTTGGTATAAATCTGTACATATATATGTGCCTGTAGGTACAGATAAAAGTGGAATCATGCATATAACTCATCTGACATACTCCTGTTTATATGCAAAGCACTTTACTGTGAAATATGGAAACTCTTTGAACATTACTGACTTCTATCATGAAGGCTGTTTTTTTGAAGTATGGTAAGTTAGAAATGTTGACGCAAGCATGCAAATATATAACTAAATTGATGTACTAAATGGGAAAGAATAATTGAGACTGAAAACCTGTAACTTAATATTGATCATGCACAATGAACAAGACCAAATTTTGGAAATTCCAACTTGTACGTTATATGCATGTACATTAGGAGGTTTGCAGAGTTATCTCTGACATAAGTGGCAACCACATTTCTTAGCAGACTCTGATAACTAATCTAATTATAATCGATGAGCACCAAATTAGTAACTCTTAATAACTTACGTATATGTTATTTGTAGGTTACTTTTAACTTCAGATAGTGGAAACTGAATCTGGCTTCCACACAAGGGAATTGACTTGGCTCACTGGAGAGACCTGAAGCTGCAGGGACAGCAGGACTGAGGGCTCTCTGTGTTGCTTTGCCCTCAGGTTCTTTCCCTGGTGGTTGCAAAACAACTGCTAGCAGCGGCCAGGGAAATAGACTTCCTTGTTATAACCTAGAGAAGGGAAACTAGCCACTTACTTTCTATTAAAAGTGAGAATAACTGTCTCAGAAAGGTCCAGGAGCTCTGTCCTTGATTTCGGCTAGAATTGAGTAATGTTCTGGATTACGGTCTATTCCTGAACAAGTCAGTAGCTAAGGGGTTGGGATTGATCATTCAGATCTTTCCCTTGAGCTGAGGTCATTTGCTAAACAGCATTGCCCTTCTCCAAACGGGGAGAGTTGGAGTGGCAACCAGTATGTACTATTAATGTAGTCCAAAGTGAAACCTCAAAATGAATGGAATTAGCAACCGCTGTGAAAAACAGTGGTGAGGTTCCTCAAAAAATTAAAAATAGAAATACTGTATGATTCAGTAATTCCACAACTAGGTATTTACCCAGAGAAACTGAAAACACTAATTAGAAAAGATATATGCACCCCTTTGTTGCAGCATTATTTACAGTGGCCAAGATTAACATGTAACCCAAGTGTCCCATCTTTATCTGCTCATAATGAATGGTTAGAGAAGATGTGAGTAGACACACACACACACACACACACACAGAGGAATATTATTCAGCCATTAAAAGAAATCTTGCCCTTTGTGACAACATGGATGGTATTATGCTAAGTGAAATAAATCAGAGAAAGACAAATACCGTATGATTTCACTTATATGTGAAATCTTAAACAAACGAAACAAAGGAACAAACGGAAAACAAACATTCATAAATACACAGAATGAATTGGTGGTTGCCAGAGGGGAGGGAGATGTGGGGATGGGCAAAATAGGTGAAAGGGATTGAGAGGTACAAACTTCAGTTATGAAATAAATAAATCATGGGGATGAAAAATACAGCATAAGGATTATAGCCAATAATAGCATAATAACGTATGGTGGTGGATGGGAACCACACTTCTCATGGTGAGCACTGTGTAATGTATAGGATCGTCAATCGCTGTGTTGGACACTGAAACATAACATTGTATGTCAACTATACTTCAATAATAAAAATTAAAAAAAAAATTTTTTTAAGTGGGATCAGTTCTGGCCCACTAGTAGCACAAAGACAATACAATACTTTGGCCATCACTGGTGTAGTGAGAGTGGACCGAGGACAGACCCAGGCAGCACCAACATTTAGCAAATAGAGAATGAGGAGCCTGCAAATCAGTCTTCTACTTAAATTTATTTTGTCTTTATTTTTAATTATGAGCTACAGAAAGCTATTCATTTGGCCTTATTTCATTAGTTCTAACAGCATATTTCATATTTGATTTACGTGCTGCCCATTATCTTAAAGGAAATAGGGAAGGAATTATAAATGGTGTACTGAAGTTAAAGGGAAAATGAAAAGTGTATTTTGTAGTACCCGAAGTGTCTAATGAGTTAGATACTAAGGAAGAACTGTATTTTTGTATGCTTTTTTTTTTTAAGTTCTTACAAGAGCTATTACTTTAAGTTCTTACAAGTAGACACTTCAGACTTATCCCTGCCTACATGTTTGGTATCTTGGAAAAATTATTATTCTTTACCCTGTGTCTGAAGGTCTCAATGATTAGAAACGGGTTGTGATTGGTAATGGGTTATGAATGGTGGTGGATTGAGTATCTTATGTGCACGGACCCTCCCCTCCTTGAGTAATCATGAGCAGACACTGTAATTTTTTTTTCTTGTGCTTGGCAGGTGTAGGAAAGAGACATGATGAACCACTGCTAATCTCTGCATATTTTTTAGGCAATGAGTTAGTAGCCAACAGTCTCAATTCAGGAGCCAGTGAGTTCTCCTTTACATTTTATTACTATGCCTCACTTAGTTTCAAGGAGTGGGATAAAGCACTGCATTTTCTATTTCATATATCAGTCTTCTCTGAGGTTTGACACTGTAAATCAGTGGTTCTTGAGCTTTACCATGCATCAGAATCTTCTGGAGGGTTTGTGAAAAAACCAATTGCTGGGCCTCCAACCCCCAAAGTTTCTGATTCAGTAGGTCTGGGGTGGGGCCTGAGAATTTACATTTCTGATAATTTCCCAGATGATACTGATGATGCTGATCCAGGTACTGCCCTTTGAGAATCACTGTTGTGAAAACATTTACGTTTAATAAAACAAGGAACAGTCATACTGAATTTATTTAAGGAAGAGATACATGGTATTTACTACTGTTTAGATTAGACTTTGTCTTGTTTTTCTCTCTCTGGTCGTTGGCTGTTACATTAGTGACCCACAGGGAATACTCTCTTTCTTTAGTAAAAGAGTAGTTACCTTTTGGTAATTGACATCTCTTAACTTTTCACAGACGCACAGATTATTGCTGCTGGGCTGAAAGCCACTTTTGGACTAGACGAAAATAGTTCGCATTATTTTGCTTGATGATCCCAAAGACAGGATTTTTTTTCTATTTGTTCTTTCCTAAGATAGCATAATTGTTGCACTCGGTGAGTATTGAAACTTTAAGTGGGTCTGAGGCCAGTACAACGCCTTTGCTCTTGCCAGCTGTGCATGTTTCTATGGAAACTCAGTAGGGGCTAGCAGGATTACTGCTGTAAGGACCACACCTGGCTTATCTGCATCCAATTTAAGTTGGGGAAATTTCAGAAGAATAAAAGGTCTGTAGATGTGACAGTGGACAGCCAGAAAGAGCTTGTTGTTTGTAACCATCATATTGGTCTAAAGAGGAAGAGTTGGGTGGGTTTTCCTTATTCATTATAGTTCATGTTTCTGGAGGGCTTTGGTGGGTATGCTAAGGTTTATATTTGTTTTGTGTATTTATTTGTCTCATTGTGTTTTGTTTTCGTTTTAGGGATATCCTTTAAATATCCTAATTTATATCCTTAATTAAATATCCTAACTTTATGATTTTAAAATTCTCTTAAAGAATTTGGAGTACATGTAGGTCAGACTCCTTTTCAAGAAGAAAGAATTTAGTTTCTTTCCAGTTGTATAATGTAATAAAATGTCTTAGTTTTTGACCACCGTTGCAGAATTATGGCAGAATTTTGTGTTGCTCTCTACTTTCAAGTGTTATGAGCTACTGTAAACCCCTTATCTCACAAAAGAAGGCAGTTTGTGAACTATTTACATATTTGATTTTGTTGGCACCACTGAACTTAAGCCTTGTTTCAGAGCTTCATAAATGGTTAGGACCATCACTGAATGTATAGGAAAAAAATTACATGGACATGAGCACAGAGTTAGAGAGAGCTCAGTTACACAAAACTTAGGTGCTTTTCATTAGTAAGTTATACCCCTCAGTCAGTTGTACTAGTTTATACTAGTTCTGCTAATTAGTTATGCTAATTCAAACATAGCTACATAGTACAGGTATATGGCAAATAAGAGTCAGCACATGGACCAACTCCTCTTCCTCGGCTAAGGCTGCTCGAACTTTCTGCTGGTCAGGATGCTAACATTTTCTGGCAAAGAGTGTGCTGGTCAACCAGTGATGGTGAATTTCCATGCTTGTGTGTGCCAAGTATTTCTTGTTTTCTAGAGACAAAATGTAATCCTGTACCTTTTTTCAGAATATTTTACAGTGAAAGTAATATATATTGATCTGTCACCTATGAACATATATGTGTGTATATGTGTATGCATATGTATATGTATATATGGTATGTGGATATGTGTATATATAAAGCCAGGTGAAGTAGGTACTTGTAAATTTGGAAGGAGGTGACATATTAGATTTGGTGTGTTTTTTTTTTTATTATTAGTGAAATATACTCTTTAAAGAAAAAAATAAGTAGGCTATTTTATTCAGCTTTATGGAAGAGTAGCACCTTATAATACATGTTCCAAGAATTTTCTAATTTACCTCCATGTTCCGAAGTGAGGGCAGGTGCTAATATCCCTATTTTGTAGATGAGGAAGTAGGCACAAGAGTGGTGCCTGCCTCTAATCAGTTTATGTTTAGGCAGCTAAACACACCTTGATGGGTAGTCCAGGGTTCCCCACTGTGTATAATTGTTCCCCCATAAAGTGTTAGGTTATTTTATACAGTTTACTCAGTCTTGCCTTTTTCTCTTTTTGTATTCATAGACTGGAAAAGTAAGAAGAGCTTTCCTGCCTTTTTAATTACCAAACTACTCTCAGTTTTCAATGAATCAATTCAAAGAAAGAATGCAGTCTTTCTATACCTGGTAAATATTTTCTGCTCATAAAAGCTATTAATTTAGTAGCCTCTGATAAATCCAGGTGTTTATGATGATTGCCTTTGATTCTGTGGAATGACTATAAAAATGACTTATCATATATATATGATATTAACTCTGAAATTTGTTGATATTTATTGATATGTTGGAGTGATGCTTAGAATGCCTGTGCCCTAGCCAGCAACAGAAAATAGTTTAGGATTGGCCCTAGTACTTAGATTAGGTTCTGTTGGTTGTGGTTTGTTTTGTTTTGTCTTTGTTTTGTTTTTTTTTTTTTTGGTCTGTTTGTTTTTGGAAAAAGTTGTGAAGTTAATGCAAATAAGGTACATACATATATTATTAAGTATTCTCTTTATTTGGATAATATATCATTAGCAATAATCCCTATGTGGCAGTTTAATAGTACTTTGTAAATAATAGTTTTACAGAATTAATCTAGTAATCAGAATATTACCTACATTTTTCCATTTTACAGATAACCTAAGTGAAGATTAGAGAGATCAAGTAACTTGCTTAAGAAAGTTCAGCTAGCCAGTGTAGAGTTGAGGTCAGAATTTAGATCAGAGGCTACATATTTTGATTCCTACTCTAGTGCCTTTTAAAGATTCTTATTTTTTAAGTACCTTAAATAAGAATTAACATGCCTAAGAGAGTAAACAAACCATAATGACATTTCATATGGGTCTTTGGTATAACTTAAAATGTTAATTGTAGGAACAGAGAAGACAAAATGGATTTATATATGCCACATAAAATACTTTATTAACAACAGTATTAACAGCCATTAATTAGCTACCAGGGACCGATATACTTCATTTAAGCCTGAGGTGAACCCTTGGGCATGTTTTGGACCTGTTTTGCAGAAGAGGAAACTGAGGCTTTCAAAGAGAGTGCTAATAGTTTAGGATGTTAGAAGTGGAGTTTAAAACCCAGTTCTCTCTGATTTCAAAGTGCATTACTAAGCTGTGAAGCCTGTTGATTTTTGGAACTAAAACTTAATCATAAATCCAACCTATCACATGTTAACTGTTATTATGGAATAATTTCCCTTCATAATTCACTCATCCAAAAATCTGAGCATTTTAGATACATATTGAGGTAATGCAGAGAAACCATGTCTTCCTCTGTAATGATTTTAACTATAGGAATCATATTAGCTCTTTTTATAATGTGATTTAAAGGTATAGGTCTTATACCCCCTCTAAAAAAGGTGTTTTTTTCCCATGTGTCTGTTGGCGAAAAAATAAAAATAAAAAATAAAAAGAAAGGTGTTTATATTTGTATATTCTAAACATATGCTTAAACTAAATTAACTAGAGCAAGTCTAAAGATATATTTCCTGTGAGAACATTTGTCTCCGTGTTTTTACTTACTGTAGCTGATCAACAAGCAATGATTATTTTTCTAAAGTATTTTTAAGACAGACGTTTTAAAATTAGTTAAATCTTAAAGAAATCAGTGTTACAGCAAGGAGTATCATTCAAAAATTAATACATTTCAAGTGTCTCACTGGCTTGGGATAAATAAAAACTTATTAACTTAAATGAAACTGTAATGATGAAAGTACAAAGAAAATTCCTTTTTTTTTTTTTTTTTAAGATTTTATTTATTTATTTATTTATTGGACAGAGACAGCGAGAGAGGGAACACAAGGAAGGGGAGTGAGAGAGGGAGAAGCAGGCTCTCCGCGCGGAACAGGGAGCCCGATGCAGGGCTCAATACCAGGACCCTGGGATCATGACCCGAGCTAAAGGCAGACGCGTAACAACTGAGCCATCCAGGCGCCCCGAAAATTCCTTCTTCTTTAGTAAAGTACCCAGAGTACCCGAGTTTGCCCAGACCAGGTGTATCTTTGCCTTGAAACCTGACTTATCCCCTGAAACTCACCTTTCCCCACGAATCTTCCACTGATTTACCACCATCACCTGCCTGGCCAAAAGAGGGTGGGAATGCATAGAATGTAGGCGATGAAATACTAAAAATATATTTTATTAGCGGCTCATGTCAGGTAACTTTTATTTCTGGTAATGTGGAGAACTTACAGCAAAGAAATGTAATTTATGTGCATTTTAATCTGTACCATTCAAAATGAGAATTGTACATTAGATTGCCTGGTATCTTTCTATTTTGGGCAGCATATGTTAGGATTCTGTAAAAGGTGAGATACATTGACAAATTTTATTATGTTTTTAGTTAAATTCTTTCTAACTGGAGCTTGCAAAGATGATATGAAACTTATTGATACTATGACATTTTGTGAAGATTACAAAGTCACTTACCTACCTTTATATTACCTGCAGCTACTCCTCATCTGAGTAGAAGGGAAGGAGGTGAGGCGGGGCTGGGGCAGCTAATGTGTATTGAGTTCCTACTCCGTTGGGCATCTGCTAGGCACATTTTGAGTAGAAGTGTAGAACTACAGGAAGTCGAGCAAAGAGAAGTACTAGGTACAGAATTGGGCCTGGCTTTTGTTTGCATGATCAGTTTGGTAATCCGCCATATTCTTTCATCATCTGCTTTTGGCAGCACCAAATGCTCTTCCTTGGTTTTTTCCAGTGCTCTGAATCACAACTACCTGGGATTGCTGGTTTAGTGCTTATGTGACCAGAAGGGCATCAGTTTTCTGGGGGTTTTGTTTGGTTTTGGTTTTTGGTGGGGGGGGGGTCAAGTTTTAAATTTTCAGAAAACTATAGTTAACAATACTGTAATCCTTAAAAATTTGCATAGAGGGTAGATCTTAGGTTAAGTGCTCTTGCCTCACACAAAAGTTTTTAATGAAGAAAAAGGGGAGGAAACTTTTGGAGGTGACGGACAAGTTTAGGGCTTTGTTTGTACTCAGAGGAGTATACTTACCTCTAAACTTATCAAGTGGTATACATTAAATATGTACAGCTTTTTGTATGTCAGTTATAACTCAATAAAGTGTTATTTCAAAAGAGAAAAATTATACTTCTTAAGTGTTATTTAAGGATTAAAGCATGAGGAAAAATTCAGAAATCAGCCATGTTCAGATAATTGTAACATCACTAAGTTTCTGTTCTTATCATGTACAGCAAAGGTGATTTTGGGGCCTGTGGATTAAAAGTCAGTTAAAAAACATAGAAATGAGGGGCACCCGGGTGGCTCAGTCGTTGGGCGTCTGCCTTCAGCTCGGGTCATGATCCCGGCGTCCTGGGATCAAGCCCCGCATTGGGCTCCCTGCTCAGCGGGGAGCCTGCTTCTCCCTCTCCCACTCCCCCTCCTTGTGTTCCCTCTCTCTCTGTGTCTCTCTCTGTCAAATAAATAAATAAAATCTTTAAAAAAAACAAACATAGAAATGAAAAACAAAAAAAAAAAATGAGAGAGAGTGCTAGCACGAGGAGTGTGACCTGAGGCTTGATCCCGGGACCCTGAGATGACCTGAGCTGAAGTCAGACACTTAACCGACTGAGCCACCCAGGCACCCCAGTAATGATTACAATTTATTTTTTTATTTATTTTGTTCATATTGCCCAAAATTTGGTCAATGGGAGGCCTTTCAAACTTGCTTCTGTGTCTTTTCCGCATATTCCCCATAATTCTTAAAGCACTTCCACTACTAATTTCTTCACCAGAACAGTAAAAGGAAGGAAAGGAAAAATAAAATATAAAGTCTCAGCCTAGAAACAAAAAGCCTCCATAAAGATATAGAAAATATAAAGAACTAAATGGAAGTTTTAGAAGTGAAAACAACAGTAACTGAAATAAAAACTGACTGGATGGGCTCACAGCAGAATAGAGGGGACAGAGTGAACTGGAACACAGAACAGTAGAAATTACCCAGTCTGAACAAGAAGGAGAAAATAGAACAATAAATGAACAGAGCCACAGGGACCTGTGGGACTATGACAGAAAGACCACAGAGGAGGAGAGGAGAAAGGGGGCTGGGCTGAAGAGTCCTTGCAGAAAGACTGGCTGAAAACTTCCCAAACTTCTCAGAAGACACAAACCTATGGATTCCAGAATCCGAACAAGTTCCAAACAATGTAAACCCAAAGAAATAATAATAAAATATTGGTAAACTAAAAGACAAAGGAGAAATCCTGAAAACAGTGAGAGAGAAATGACATCTTTCCCTATGGAGAAAAACAGTTCCAGTGATAGTGGATTTCTCCTCAGAAACCATGGAGGCCAAGAGGCAGTGGCATAATATTTTTCAAGTATTGAGAAAGAGCTAAAAATACCAACATTTAGACCCAGTGAAAACATCCTTCAGGAATGAAGGGGAAATCAAGACATTCTTAGATGAAGGAAAACAAAGCATTCATCTCCAGTAGACCTACCCTAAAAGAATGGCTAAAGAAATGAAAGATGTAGTTTTAAATCAACAGAACATATTTAGGACTTGTGTACCAAAGACTACAAAATGCTGGTGGGAGAAATCAAGGAATATACAGAGCAATGGAGAGATAATACTGTGTTTGTGTGTTAGAAGACTCAACATAGGAAAGATCACTTCTCCCCAAACTGATACACAGGTTTAATGCAATTCCTGTGAGAATCCCCCTATGATTTTTAATAGATAAGATTATCCTAAAATTAATATGGGAATGCAAAGGAATTAGAATAGCAAAATTTTGAAAAAGAAGAAAGTGGAAAAAATCAGTTTCTCTAATTTCAAGACTTATTATATAGTTGTAGCAGTCAAGCCTGAGGATATTGGTGGAGAAACTGACACATTAATCTTTGGAACAGAATACAAAACCCAAAAATAGGTCTGCACAGGTATAACTGACTAATTTGTGACTAAGGTACAGAAGCAGGTGGAGCAAACAGAGGAAGGAAAATCTTTTTGACAAATGATTAAAAAAAAAACAAAAAAAAACCCCTTTAATCTTCACACTAGGAAAAAACAGAAGAAAACCTTTAGGACATAGGACTTGGAGCCTAGTCTTAAACATGACACCAGAGGGGCAATTGGCTGCTTCAGCCAGTAGAGCATGTGACTCTTGATCTTGGGGTTGTAAGTT